GAAAGAGTCACTGCTTTAGTTAAGCAAAAAGATGTACCTTCTCAAGGAGAAAAGGAGGAAGAGCTGAAGGCAATGATGCATGACTTGCAAATCACGTGCAGTGAGATGCAGCAAAAAGTTGAGCTTCTGAGGTAATGTATGTACCTTCTACACCTCACGGAATCCCACAGAGCACCTCACCAAATCTAACTTCGCTGCTTGCTGTGCCTAGAGAAACTAACCTGTTAGTCTTCAAGAAGAGAGCAGTACTTTAGACTTCCTTCTGCTTCTGTGTCGTATTAACAAGTAGAATAACCCTGCCTAGGAGGCACTGCTTCCTCTATAGGAAATAAATGTCGTTCATTTAGGGTGTGAAAGTTCACGATGGAGAGTGTTAGTTGTTTAACCATGTGCATCATCAATGTGTGTCAAGTCTTTAACTCTTTTGTAGCACTTCACTTGGATGGATAGTTTTGGTGGGGTTTTTTTGGCTAAATGTTGGTTATTTTCTTCATTTTGATGAAACAAGTTATATGAGAATGAATGCCTTTCGTGTATCATTAACTCACTTGGTAGATAAGGAGTCTCTTCTTACACTAATATAGAAGAAGTGTTGTGTCTCATGGCTTATAGTTTTTCACTTATATCACTTGAAGTGCAGGCTGATATTCTGTAAACATTGGAAATTTATCTTAGAACATATAATTTTTTGAGGAGCTATCAGATTCTGATAAACATGCTTGAAGAACAAAGACAAAACTGATACTAATTTGAACCACTGCTCACTCAACTTTATAAAATATGATTGCAATAGCCTTCTAACAAATTAGGTTCAAAAAAAAACTTGTAAAATACTACATCATGTCTGAAATATCTTAAAGATATGAAAACACAAAATAATTCTGGGCGTAGTTTTTCCTCATCTTACTTCAGGCCATATTTAGTTCTAAAAATCATAATGAGATGAAAGAAATCACAAAGTAAACATTCGCGTACATATTTTGACATGGCCCTTTCATTTATGTAGTGAATCTTCTTTCTCTAGGTACCCTGGGGTTTAAAACTGGAGCTCACACAGCTTAGTAATATGGCTTTTGTCTTTTAGGAGCAGGCAGGACTTCAGACTGAAATAAATAATTTGCTCAAAGCATATGCCTGCCACTGAGAAAGTCAGCAACCAGGATGGGCATTGAGTCTCCTTTCTGTCTCCATGCTCAGGTGTTTCAGTCACACTTCCCTAATGTCTTTTAGTGAAATTCTTACTTCCCAAAAGAAATGAGTCAATATGTCGTAGCTTGATTTCCAAGCACCAAGAGACTACTAATTTAGGCTTTTCTTTTTAACTAGCATGGAATATGTGTTTAATTGGAAGTTACTATAAAGTATTTTCCAAAGATGCCAGATGCCTGCCTTGTTATAACTATTTTTTAAAAATCTCTGTACTTCAGATATGAATCTGAGAAGCTTCAAGAGGAAAATTCTATTTTGAGAAATGAAATTACTACTTTAAATGAAGAAGACAGCATTTCTAACCTGAAATTAGGGAAATTAAATGGATCTCAGGAAGAAATGTGGTAAGACATATATTTAAATGTTCTTAAGGCATTTCTGTGAGGACTAAAACTATTTTACTTCAACTGTTAGAGCCTAACTGTTAAGTTATATTTTCATTGTCCCTTTAGGCAAAAAATAGAAACCGTAAAACAGGAAAAAGCTGCAGTTCAGAAGATGGTTGAAAATTTAAAGAAACAGGTAAGGAGAGAATATTTCCCAATGTTTCCTGATTCTAAAATTTTTTTTTTTTAATTTGAAATTTACAGCATGTGCTACTGGAAACGTAGCTAATAATGGTAAGGTTGTAAATCCTGAGTTTCAAAATGGAAACTCACCTCATGCTAATTCTAAACTAGGTTTCTATTTTTTGTGAATATAATCATGTATATATTATTTCTAGACTCTGGTGCTGAATACTAGCTTTATAATCAGTGGGAGTGGGGAGGTGATAACCTCTAAAACCGAACCTGTGAAATACTAGCTCTTTGTTGCCTGTGGTTTTGTTTTGTTTTGTTTTGTTTTGTTTTGTTTTGTTTTTAATTAGATTCAGTTGTGCTCTTTGTAGCAGATGGCTTTTTTTTTTTTTTTTAATATGTATTTATTTTGTCTGCGCCAGGTCTTAGTCGCAGCACACGGGATCTTTGTCGCAGCATGCGGACTCCTTAGTTGCAGCATGCACGCAGTATCTAGTTCCCCAACCAGGGATCGAACCAGGGCCCCCTGCATTGGGAGTGCACAGTCTTACCTGCTGGACCACCAGGGAGGTCCCCACATGTGGTTTTGATTCATGTTAGCTCCTTCCTCTTTCCTCACCACAATTAAAAGCAGAAAGTTAAGAACAGCATTTTACAGATATAGAATACTAGTTAATCCGTGTATATTTTCACAGAATTATGATTTATTTAGATAGCTTGTGCCTTTCAGTGCCCAATTTGTATAATCTCAACAATATGCAATTGTGTGGGGAAAAGCCATTTGAGAATCTGTCTGAAACAGTCAAAAGACAAGGACATCCTGGGAAAAGACTATTTTCAGCACTTGAAATAGACAAGGTGTTAACGTCCAAAATATATTCTGTACTGTTATAAACAAATTGCAAAATGGAGTAGAAAACTGAATGATTTATATGATTGGTCAAGTCAGAAAAAAAGAAGAGAACATATAAAAAGATGGTTAGCCTCATTAGTAATTAGGGAAGGGCAAATTAAATAAGTTTCTTTTTTTCACCTGTCAGATTAGCAAAAATTAAAGATTGATCTGGTCTAGTATTAAAAAGGGAATGAGGAAACAAATATACTCATACATTGTTGATAGGACTATAAGTTGGTAGTCTGTGAGGAAGACATTGTGGGGATATTGATCAAAACAGTAATGTAGGGCTTATGTCAGTATAAAAAAGCCATGGGGGGGGGCTTCCCTGGTGGCGCAGTGGTTGAGAGTCCGCCTGCCGATGCAGGGGACACTGGTTCGTGCCCTGGTCCGGGAAGATCCCACATGCCGCAGAGCGGCTGGGCCCATGAGCCATGGCCGCTGAGCCTGCGCGTCCGGAGCCCGTGCTCCGCAACAGGAGAGGCCACAACAGTGAGAGGCCCACATACCGCAAAAAAAACAGTAATGTATATGCACGCCTTCTAACCCAGCAGCCCTACTTCCAAAAATAAGATCCTAAATACAAAATGCTACCATGTGTAAATGAATTTTCCAAAAGATTGTTTTGTTTCTTCATAATTAAAAGAAAAAATGATAATAAACCTATATGTCTATCAGTGTGGGAATGGATAAATACAGTATGGAATGTCTTGATACATGGAATACCCTATAGCAGGGGTCCCCAACCCCCGGGCCCGTAGACCACTACCGGTCCACAGCCTGTTAGGAACCGGGCACACAGCAGGAGGTGAGCGGTGGTCAAGAGTGAAGCTTCATCTGCTGCCCCCCATCACTCGCGTTACCGCCTGAGCCATCCCCCTCCCCTGACCCCACCCTCC